TGTGTTGCTTAACAAGTTACTTATCATTATCAACAACGATCGCAGGCTACGTCCTCAGAAAATCAGTAGTAAAACAACATGACGAATGACTCCAAATAGAGCACCAGGATACGCCTGGTCACGTAACATGAGACACCAATCATCTGATTACAAATTATCCTTAAGTTGCATGAAAGCATATGAAGGAGTAGTATATATGTATTCAAAACGTCAAACTTTATAAACTAGAAACTATGTGGACACGTTCATTTTATACGAAATTTATATAATGTACCTATACGGGCTATAAATATCTCGAATTAATGCACGGAAAACTATTTTGCTACTTCTCCGAGTATTAGGATTTCAAATAAATAAATTTTGTTTTAATAGAGTCGTCCACGTATGCCGTAACTGATCGCAGGTGAAAGGAGTTTTAAAATAGTAAATAATATGTTTTGGAACCTATTCAATGGAAACAAGCTAATCTTTATATTCTATACTAATATTTTTTGTTTGTTTATTTACATCGAATAGGCTTCGAAACTACTGAACTGATTTTAAAAATTCTTTCAACTTGAGGAAGCTACACCATACGTAGGTGACATAGGTCGCGGGAAAACAGCTAGTATTAGTATAAAAAAAACTCTTGACTAAGCAACATAATAAAATATTCACCGAATGTTTAATGCGAAAACTGACAATGGTTGGCGAACAAACATTGCTATTCTCTAATAAACTCGACGTCGCGCGCATTGTTACAGTATAGGGGTTCAATGAAATAACTCCTTTAGTACCTTTTGAAGTAGGTTTTCTTTGATTGAAGCTCTATGCTGTGACAGTGCACTGCAGAATTCGATAACTGAATCACTCAGCTGATTCAGTCGGTCATATAGTTAGGTGCCTTATACTTGAGTGTCCGGGTGACTCGGCCACAGCTTCCCAAGAGAAGGTGCACCGTAGGGATTTTGGTGCGTAGGCCTCTGGTGACCTACTGGACAGCTCATTGCCCGGCGCTTGCCAGGTAACAGGGACATGCCCAAAAACATTTTCTCAATGTTAAAAAAAGTACCTTATCACTAAGCAAAACTTCAAAAGTAGTTGATGGATTGATTAAATTAACTACATATTTTTCTTATTATTACTTTAAAACCATGAAATTTTGTATTTACTTACACAAGTACCTAAGTATATTAAAAGTGCATTATGTTATTCTATATTATTTCCTATGCATTATTAAACGAAGTCGTTTCCCGCATTTAAGACGCTGAGATCTTTTGAAAACTATGAGGTTTTTTAGTACAAACATAAATAATGAATAATGTCTGACGCCTAGACTGTCTATATCGTGCCTTTCCAATATAGATACAGTGGGTGTAAACTTTGACATTTCAAAGTTTTGTCATGCGTTAAAAAGTAAAATGTCAAAAACTACGCTTCTCTAGCATTTGTGTCAATAAATTAACACTCTCTTAAGAGTGCGCATACCACTGATGAGAAAAAAAGACAAAATAGCTTATCAAAAAGTCAGATGAGTTGCATGCATGGGAAAAGCGTTGAAATAATTGTTATTCGAATATCTTAAGTTAAATAAAAAAATCTCTAATGTCAATCTTTCACTACAAATACACATAGGTAACATTTTTAATTTTCACTATAAAAAAATTATATACCTAAATGTTTTTATAAAAAGTGATTTTAATATTTGGCGGTTTTAAAGTAAATTGGTAAATATTGTGAATCTTAAATCCACACTAATGTCGCTTGTGATATAGTCAGATTGTGGGCAAGAGAAACAGGGGGATAGACGAACTGTAAGAAAAAGAGGGAATGTGAAAACAAAAAATATATATAAATATGATAAGATATACGACGACAATAATACAACGAAAGGACGAAATAAGGTAAGATATATATTCTCATTTTTTTTTTCTAGCAGATATCCCCTTAACAATCATTAAAATATTCAGGGTGAACTAGATAAGAATTATTGCACGTTTAACATTCTATCGATAGAGATGAAACCAGACATTCTAGTTTCATCACTGAACGTGATCTTTCGTGTCTCCTAGCTAGTAGTAAAAAAAATGTTGAAGTGGCATCTGTTAGCTTTAATAATGGCTTCAAGCCTTTGTTATGGAAACTGTTGGAGAGTTTTTCCACTACCCGGACAACCTGTAGCGACCACCTTTCAACCCTCAGTTTCAGCGACCACAATACGAAGTCCATTCTCCAATACCTTTAGCGCTTTCAAAACAGAAAAGGTAAAATCATCAAGTTTGTCTACGAAATTGAATCAGCCTTCTCGAGATTTGCTGCCACCAAAGGTGAGTACTTCCAATTTTATTACTAATATAAGGTAAACTCAGGGATGTCATAGCAAATAGGTTCAATCAAATTAGGTTTCATTTCATTCTTTAACTTCTAAAGGTAATATGTCATTGATTCTATAGAATGTCTCGGCTCTGCGATCGACGTCGAGTTCTTATCTGTTTTTTATCAGATAGCATAATTGGCAATTTAATTAATTGGTGTATAGAATACCTGGACTTTCCATTAGACAACTACAGGATTTCAAGGTCTCTTTTAAACTAGTTAATGTACATTAGTAAAAAAAAAACTATTTATTTTGAACTTGAAAATTATCAGGTTGGATTTTAAAATCGATAGCAAAATGGTTAAGCCAAATTTAATTAAGATGTAAAATTAATAAATCTAAGGCTTGTAAAGTTTTACATGCAGAGTAAGAAACATATGGCTCTATAGATTATCTGAAAACTTTTTGACACTGTGACGTGGGAAATTAATGCCAAATTTTAACTAAAAAATGCTAATAATAAAAATTTCTTTGTTCCAGAAAAATGCTCTATCGTGAAAATACAACGAAAATTATATTACGAATGTTGTTTTATTGATTGTTAGAAATAGTATATTAAATACAAATATTTAATAAAATTATTCATAATCCACAAGTTTTATATATTATATTTGATCAATTCCGCATTCGCAATGCTATACTGAAATATATTCTTATATTTTTCCTGGCATTCCATTCCACTTGGTTCCTGGCACCCTGAGATGGGATTCTAACCCATGACCTTACGCAATCCGGGCGACTATAAACCAAGTCGAGTGTTTAAGCATTTTAAATTAGGATTTTCATATATTTAACCAATACCGTCTTATGATAAAACGAATACCAGCTTTGAACCACTAACCGACCAAATTTGGGTTACACGTCTCAGTTTGATGGTTTCTTTTCTGTCATTGTCAATTTCGTTAAGGCGGCCAACGGTTTTAAACCAAGTTAACATTAGTCCCTATTTTATAATAAGAGGAATAAAGTATTTCAGCTCTACCTACTAGCTTTAGCTCTCTAGCTTTATCTATAAAAAAAAGTACTGAAAAAAAACTGTGTTTGTATGTACTGTATATATTTACAAATAATTTCCTGTATAATTTATTTAATTCAAATTGAAAGGATTAATAATAATAAATAGGAAAAAAAATTTTTTTCGGGTATTGATAACCATGTCTTAAAATCCACCATGTAGCAGAAGATTTTTTCTTCAGTATTCTCTAGCTTTATTTATTTCATTTAAACTAAATATTAATAATAATTTAGATTAAACGCTCGCTCGCAATTTTAACAAAAAAAAATAGAACAAAAACCGTAATAAATAATAAAATAATAATAAAAAAGAGATGAAATATGAATGTGTAATTAATTACTTACGATGTATATAATTTTTCCACGCGTTTTCCGCAATATTCAATGTGTACGTTGATTAATGACAAGATTCACGATCATAAGATATTCAATAAGATCATTGGAAAATACGCCCATGACAGTAGAGATATAAATGAACAATGGTCAGCTACTAAATCCAGAATAATAATTATGTAAAAACAACTACAAGTGGTATTCGTGATATGTTCATGGAATAATAATGACTTGGGATTTTTGAGAGTGATATTAAACACATTCGTTACAATCTTCAAGTTGTTTACCGCTGCTTGTTCCGTGTGGCCAAAGGAGCATGAGCCCCCTTAAACATTTATTTTATTCTGGTTTTTCGTATTTATTGTTTGTTGAAGCGGCAACAGAAATACCTACATCATGTATGAAATTTTCAAATGTCTAACTTTCATGGTTCACGAGAATAGGGTTCCCGTTATGTATGAGTTTCAGTAAAAAGTGAATAGTGACACTCCAGCCTCTATAAAATATACTTATAACACGTTACGTAATGAATATAACACAAAACCGAGACATGAGACAAAAACCGGGTGACGAATCCGGGACCGCAGAGGCTTGAGATATACCATGCTTCTCGGCTACAGAGGTAATTGATAAAATTCTCACAAAGTATGCGAATAAAAAATTCAAACTAATTATAATTTGTTAAAAACCCCTATTCTACAACCAGATCCGGTATATCCTGTTTCTCGAATATATTAAGCAATTAAGACAATATTAGTAAACGAATGATGAGCCACAGAGACTAATAACCAGTACGCAACAAGAATAGTACACCATATGAATTAAATTACAGGTGTTTTATATGACGTCTCGTATCCGAACACAACATACTTACATAATTCTTTATGCCTTTGTTTGTATGAAGACGCTACAAAATTCCCCAGAGACTAAACAGGTCAGATCGTTCAAGATAATCTCGTATTTATAGTTTCTACCATCTCAACACTGTTGTATACTGCCAATTTAAAACGTTTATTAAATAAAACAATTTTTGGTTGTTATTCAGTTGTATTATATAAGAACTTTTTTGTCACTATTTGTTATGGTAGCTTGATTTGCACGACTTGTTTGGATCGTGTGAAACAAATTTTGGAATAACATCAATTAAAATATTCTTCGCTGTACTGTTTTTTTCTCATTATTAAAATAATATTTGCTTGCGTGAGTTTTCAAATCTAATGAATTTAAAGGTCTGTTAAGATTCACTTTCAAAACTACTAACTTCGTATCTGTTAAATTACCAATATTATTATGTTAATTTAATCAACTCTTTGATTTTGAACTCTCTCGTTGAGACATAAAATAGATTATTGATAAGTAGGTAGAGTTATATTCTTATTGGAATTGAATATGAGTGTAATTGACATCATCGACTAACAACTTTTTTTATAATAAACACTAAGAGGAAGATTAAGTTATAAAAGGCGATTCGTGTATTATAATTAAATCAGTTCACTTGCATATGTAAACACAAACGTTCGCAAAATGAGATGTGTGATAGTTTTTTGCGTGCTAGTTTTACTTGTTAACTGTAGTTTTGGGAAAGAAGATGGAGTTTATGAGTTGAAAGGAGGTGATTTGTTTGATTTAATTCGGGGCATACCACCAAAAGATGGGAAGTTAAAAGTCTCTAAAGTAGTTGAAGATACAGGAGAGAAACATCCGGATGGTATATTTTTTATTCCTGAGGATTCATTGTCAGAGGTGCCAGATGAATTGCAAGTAAAGGTAAGCCGACTGTGTTGAATATTGATAAGGTAATATTAATTAATAAAACACATAGGTATTAAATACTATTAAAACTATCTTTTCTCAAAGTATAGAGTAAATGGTCAAAGACAAGAGAGTGGTGTCAACTTAAAACATTTAGCAGTGAAAAATTTTAATTTTAGCAATGTAAATAGCCTTTAAAGATATTATATTTAAAAAAAAATAATTAACTATTATGATCAAACCAACAACAGGTTTTAAGAGCAATAGTCAGTATAAATGTATTTAGTGATTATGGAATATGTACCTACTTTCATAAAAGGGACGTATAACCATTAATTTTTAAGACAATTTAGAATTCCAAGCAAAATACAACACATCTATTAAATAAAAAATAATTTAATTAAATTATGACATTTTTAAAATTATGAGGATACTAGATGAAGAATGAATGAATTAATTAATTAATAAACAAGGTTTGGCGTCAGAGTAAATATACGTTAAAATCGCAATTTCAGTATTTGTCCGAATTCATATTATACAAAGAATAACCTTCTAGGAGTAAATATTACTCCCGTAGAGCCTCGTATTAGATGAACCTTAGCTATATATGAATTTTGACTAACACAAAGTGCAGTCTCAGCGTAAATTTACTCCAACGCTAAACCTTGTTTATTATTAACACAGTATATGTATTATTGTTCCAGAAAAAACAACCACAAGGCCATTGATACAACAGCAAACCTGTATCATCGTAGATTTATATTTAACCGAGTATTATTACTGATTGACCTTGATTTTTTTATTAATAAAAACGTCATATCTCATATTGGTTTCATTTTGAGGTTCTCTTATTTTATTAATTGAATAATTAAAAGATTACGTCGTTTCGTCGTTCAACGTATTCACATCACTATTATTTTTCTCCGAAATGAGTGAATAGGTAAGTTAAAATAAATATCAATTTGAAGTGTCTAAATAAATGCAAGAATACGAACGTGCAAATAAATATTCAAACTCACAATTACTACTAATAATCATGAGGCATGAAACAGACAAAGTAAAAATAAGAGGGAGAAAAGAATTATATTTGTAAAATTACATAAATGCAAAGTTTGTTCTAGAGAACTTGTGTGAAGTCAAGTCAGACTTCACTAGTACAATTTATTTTTTCATTTAAATAATCAATATTATTTTGCATATTTTTTGCCTTATACGAGTACCTACCTTACCTAAACGATACCTTATTATTGATATAGTAGGTTATGCGGGCGTAGTCGCTGGAAACAACTAGTTATTTACAAAACAACTATATATAATCCTAATGTACATTACAACGAGTGAGTACGACATATGGTTAGAATTAGTAAAACTATGAACTAATAAAGAGAAGACATATACAAAGTAACTTGTTGTTGATGGTTAGAAACAAAATATTTATATTTTTTAAGAGTGAAAAATGTTTTTATCTTTTAAGTTATATCATTGAGTTAGGCTGTCAGGTCCCGGAGAATATACAGATTATCTTAACCTTAATCTTAACTAGAATTATTACAATAGATAAATAATAAAAATTTAATAGAAGCTAATATAGAGAGTGAAATTAACAAAATAGCGACTATATTTACGTAACGAAAAAAGTTAAATATTAACTGACAAATTAAGTATGTACTTGTAGTATTAATATGTGCACATCCGCGATCGTGCTACGCCCGTTTCTTCTTTCATTATCTGATGATATTTATAATCTAAGAATGAATAAAAATATCATACACATTAAAATACTGCTGGATTTTATTTTATTTAAAATAAAAGTTATTCCTCTGTTCCTCTAATTTATGGCGGTAAACCCAGCAAGTTTCGTTCAACTGGAGTAACAAAAGTATCGGGGCACTGAACTTCGTATACGCGAATGACTTCTACCTCTCTTTCGAAATGAATCGGTAAACGAGATTATACCTCATAATGTGATTTGTTACCATTCCTCATTAATATCAAATTTTTACAGTACCTGGCATGAAGGTAAACTCGAATGCAAAACTTTTGTATTAAGTCTATTGACTTGATAGAAGTTTCTTGAATTAGAATTATACTTTTTACGGGATTGTTGCAAGCGCTATAATTTTTTACATAAGATCTATTAGGTATCGCTTTTAATTTTTTTTTAAGTCATTCAATATTTTTAGTTTCTGTGTAGATTTTACTTTTTTGAAATGCCATCGTTAAATTGTTTTTTTTTTGTTACCAATTCCAATAACTCAAAGTTACCAGTATATGTATATATCTACGAGATAAAATACAATTTATCATCTAATTCCAATCCGATGAATGTTCAAATAAGAAAAAAATAACAGCTCATCAATAAAAAGTTCTGTCGTGACATAAACAAAAGGTATGCTTATAATAATACTCATTATCTTTATAAATCGTGATATGTTATTGAGTACCGCGTATATAAATAAAGCTTCAGATTTATCTCAACCAACACTCCACATCAGGCACGATGAGTTTGATTTTTAAATACATTTTTTTTGTTAGTCTAAGTACTCTAGTCTGTGGCGAACTTACTGAAGAAGACCATGTGGTTTTGGTAGCACCAGTTTTGGCACCTCCGAAAGCAGCTAGAGCCAGGGTGACGGAGACTGCTAAAGATTTCCCTGTCTTGATGCTTTTATCTACAAACGACACTCAACCTAATATTGAAGAGCCTAAAGTTGAAGGTGAACCGCATCCGATATACGTGCAGGTGAGCGGTTTAAAATGTGTTTTCTAATTAAAACGCTTGCTTAGATTTATCTATATCGTAAAAAAAACTGACGAGCAAAAGTTTGAGGTCACTCACTAAAGCCTTGATATCTTCCAAAAATATCCAACTTCATTCAAATTAGCTGTATATGATAGATATTTACGCGGGAATTTTGTACGATAAAGTAAATGAGCAGTCGCGATAAAATAAATTCATATATATAGGTAAGTATAACAAAATATAAGATTAACCTCCTTCTTTGACCGTCATACTAAATTCTAAATTTACTCTATATCGTTTCAGAAACTGGAGGATCAAAAACCTATGCATAGAAGACGTCGAAGGTTCTTGATACAGAAGGCTAGAAAATACTAAAATACCTAGCAAACTACTTACATAACATCATTATGGTTTAATTTGGTGATGAAATAAAGGTTTTATTATTATATTTAATGAATTTTTATTTCATGATCATCCTCATCAGCCCTTTTAAGTGCCCACTGCCTTCCTTATGGATGGTTAAGGAGTATAGGCTATGATCATCCACGCTGGCCTAATACGGATTGGAGGGTATTAACGACTGCAAATGCAGCCGGGACCAATCTTAATGTGCCTTTCGAAGCACAGAGTAGCCAAATTAATAATTTTTGTCACCCACTCCATGACCTATCTCTGCGAAAGTTTCTTAATAACAATGATCTCGGGCTGCAGCATTTATCAACTATGCCACCGAGCATTCACAATTCTATAATGATAACTATCTATAAACATAATTGTTTATAAAATCCACCAGATATCCCATAGCGGGCTGTCGGTAACCACTTAACCACTTTTCATCAAAGTTTCTTGTAATTTAGTATTTGATATTGACTCCTGCATTAGTTCTCAGTGAATTTCTGAAGTTTTTGATTAAAATAAAATATCCAGTAAAGCGGGCAGTACTCGCAAAAAAAATTCCAAAATGTAATACGAATATGAAGGCAGATCAGGATAGATGACGAATCAGCCCATCTTTGAAATCACTAGAAAATTTTGAATTAAACATGAACGGTCAGAAGTAGATACTGTGACCCAGTAGTCATTTCTGAGCTGTAAAATAAGATAGAAAAAAAAACGACAGATACAATCACTTGTAATTAATTATATCCGTATCATCATTTCTCTCTTTAATATACTTATCTATAAACGTAAACCCTGACCTTACATTGACTTTAAGTACTGCATTCACTTATCAAATAATTGAGATATTATGTAAGAACCCATTTAAAGTAATTTTATATGACGAAGGGAATTTTTATAAGATTAAAATCTAGAAGATACAGTGGTATAAAAGCATGGTTATAAAACATATTGTTGTCGTTACTACTTCTATTGTCACTAATGTAACGTTTCAGAGGCACATTTTTACTCTTTACAAGTGAACCTTGATGTTTTACTAAATATGTATATTTTACTTTTGTTATTGTTCGCGTTTGTGAATGTGAATTGCTTATATATTCATGAGAATCATGAATCCTGGCCCAATAATCCACAGGTAAGATGTTGTTTATTTGGAAAATGGTAATCGAACACAAAAATATCACAATAATTCGAACATAAAAAGAAACTAAACAAACCAAAAGGTCTCTAACTTCTAAGTCGTCATCATCACCAGCCTATTAATATCCCCACTACTAGGACTCAAGCCTTGCCTATGGATGGAATGTAATCAACATACAACCTGTTATTTGTTTTTTTTTCAGGTAGAAAATATTGTAGCGAGACAACTTCGAGGAACCCTTTCAAGTACGTACCTATACTGTAACATTTTTGTCTAATCTTCAATATTCCTTTTCTATAGGCTTACAATATTATTTGATTTTAGATTATGAACTGTCTGCAAGTCAGATGCCAAGACAACAAACTGTGGTAGTAGTCCCTAATTCAGGTAACACTCAGACTTTCAATAAATATTATAAAACAAGTCCCTTTGTCGCGTTTCTCTCTCTCTCTTATTTACATGATGAACTCAAAAAGTGTTGAATGTTTTGTAAATGATTTTTGAGTAGATAATTAATGACGAAAGTTTAGATCACAGAACATAGAGAGAGATCTATATTCTGTGGTTTAGATCTTCCGATTACACACACTACGAACATGATATGTATGAAGTACTCTACGAACATAATATGTACACTTAAATAGCACGCGTCAGAAAATTTAATCCCTAAACCATTTTAGCTAGATACCCACTGTGATTTTTATAGAAATAAATTACTTTACAAGATTAACAATAAAAAAATTACAAGAATTATCCATTATTTCTTTCCTTTTGTCTGAATTTAAATAATTACATTTTCTATTATGCGAACGAATGGAGAAACTGTCTGCATTCATAGATTGCTGATTACGAAGCACTCTTATCAAGTATCTCTACATAAAAACGGTAAATGCTTTCTGTTCAGTAACAGCTATTATTAGCGTTTTAAAATATTGGTATCTTCATTAAAATAAATGAAACGGGTGTTTATTTACAGATAAACAATCTAAACAATGCCTGCGGATGAAATTATTACGATATTTATAAAAATTTGTAAACCTTAAGCCTAATATTCTTAAATAAATATTTAATTATTGTAGGACAAATTCCAGCGTCACAGAGTGCTTCCTACGGATATGCCGCAAACACAATAAACCGAACCCCCACCACTGTAATCATCAGTCCACTAGGTACATAAAATTTATTAAATAAATAAAACGGCCACATCTGTTTCTATTTTTATTTATTTCGTACCATCACAAAATTAAATAATGTGTCGAGATTCAATAAATAGCTTTTTTAACGCAGCCAATCTGTTTGTATTAAGAAATACAACTTTATTATGTACTTCGGGTTTTTTTTTTCTTCATTCTAAATGTTATGGTTCTGTTTCAAATTAATATTTATAGATTGAAACATGTTTTATAAATTAAAATACAACTTTAGCTTCCGCATTTTTTGTGTCTCTCAAATGTTAAAAGTAGAAATTGTTTTTAACAAAATTTTATATTATTATAATCAATATTTAAATATTATAAATAACTTTATCTGTATTACTATGTTGTCACGCCTAAAATACTGAAACAATTTTAATGAAATTTGTTACAATCTTAGGAAAAAATATGGAAACTTAAAGGGGTTCAACCCCTTAAGTAATGAAAATTTTTATGAAGCGTTGGCATTCCTGAAGATAAACATATGAAACTTTTTAAGCGAATTCGAAAACGCGGGAAGCTACATTTTTATAAAACTATTTTACTAGTTTAAAAGGTTTAAGTACAATAAGACGAAGCCACTAGCCGTAATTTTGTAATTTTCATTTACGCGGATAGAAAAAAATATCATCATCAAAATCCTACTATTCGTTTGTTCCAGCTGAATATCCGAGGTACTGAATGCAGCAAAGAAACTTTACACAGTGTAATTAAAGAATTGATGTAAGATACTATCAAATAAATATTTTATACAGTATATATCTGCACTTTCATTAATTTTAAATAATAAGTGGTTTGAAATGTGTTATTGGTAGCAATTATTTTGCTTAAAAAAAACTTTTCGTTTTTTGGGTTCCGTCAAACAAGGAATCCTTATAATTTCACTATGTCCGTCCATCCGTCCGAAATTTAGCTCAAAACCTATTGGTAATAAAAAGGTTTTACTTGGCTTGAGTATACACGTTAAAGTAGTAAATTGAAATTTAAAAAAATAGAGTACTTCCCCTGTCTGTAAAATGGCAATGACAATTTTTTTGTCTTCCCCAAAGGTTGGGACATCGTTGCATACGCCCTTTCAAAAACATTTGAAGTGTGAGAAGGCCGACCGTTTATTAATATTAAAAGAGCTAAATTTAGATTACAGTCAATCGTTCCCCCTCTACGACAATACGTTGGATGCAAAATATGAGGGATCATCAAACTAGGAGGGATCCCCCCTCCTAGTTTGATGTCACATATTTTGCAAGGTTTTTTAAGTAATAGTTTAAAATTCGTGGTGTAACACTTAAATTATAATATATTTTGAAATGTGACGTCACGGAATTTAGGACCCTCCCACTCCCTTGTCACACAATGTCACACTTCGTCGACCCCCTCCCTCCCCCTTAACGTGTGACGTTATTTATGGATGGCCCCTAGTCGACCAATTGTATTTAACACGAATATTTTGATCAACTCCATAGATTTATGGATATGGAGTTGATCAAAATATTCGTGTAAAAAACACGTTTGTTCTAATCAGAACAAACGTGTTTTTTTACTGTTTTTATAGACAATGGTACGGAAAATATTCTTAACACAAAATGTTTAAAAAATCCACTTGTAACAACAAGTACTTGAAAGATTCGTCAGTCCTGTTAGGTCCTGGGTAGTTCAACGGTTAGAGCAGTCGCCCGGATTGCGAAAGGTCGTGGGTTCAAATCCCATCTGAGGGTGCCAGGGACCAAGTGGATTTTTAAGCATTTTGTGTATTAAGAATATTTTTCAGTATAGCATTGTGAATGCGAAATTGATCAAATATAATAATGGAACGGAACCCTTCGCGCACGAGTCCGAGTCACAATTGGCCGTTTTTTTTAAATTCGTTTTACAGTATGCAAAAGTAAGTAGGGGCAGACAGACGGAAAGCGACTTTGTTTTATATTCCTAAAAACTTCCTACACACAGATAATGAATATACTGAAACTCATGAATAGATAATTATCTATTATTAATGTAATCAATTTTATAGTTTGACAATTTATCAACAATGTTTCATTGGTGGCGTGATTGCAGGCATCATTAAAATGGTCATAAATATTAATCACAAGAATCATGTTAAGAGACAATTGAGTTTTATAACGTCAGTTTCTTTTATACTTTCGTCTTTTCATTCATTTATTTGACAGTGTTTTTGTTTTGTTTTTTTTTTACCAAAAAAAAAATAAAAAATGACTAAAATGGATTATAAAGTTTTCTCGATATAAACTATTTATTTTATATATAACTAGAAAATTTGACGAAAATGCCAATAGGTTTAACATCCTTATAATGAAGTAATACACTCTTCTTTGTTAGCGCAGATGCCTCGGTTTTAGCCCCTTTTAAGCATTTGGAACTTTAATGTGTTCTTACTTTCATGTAGGTAAATATATTATTTTAGCGTATATGGTAATAAAATTTTATATTATTGCCGCTACCAGCTGCGATATGTTACCAATATTTACTTATTCCTAATTTTGAAAATGACAGAAATCGGGCAATCTACCCTACATGTCGTTATTTTCCTACCTTATTTTCCTTCGTTGTTTTAATTAGATATTAAAACAGTTGAATAATTCAATGATATTCATTCGTATCCTAAAAATACTTATGTATTATTCGTATCCTAATCGACATAGAAAAAAAATACTTATGTACTATAGTTGGAGCTTAAAAAAAGGTATGAACATGCTTTGCATTGACAAATAGATTCTAAACGGGTATGAAGTAACCATAACCATATATCTGCCAATGTTTCCAGTACTCATTAATATCTCAGATAGTATAAGAACAAAATGTAGATACCGAGAATCACGTAAGGTAATGGTAAAATACCTTTTCCAAGTTATTACGAACGTCCAATAATTACGGAATATCACAGTATCAAGTATACATTGTTCTACTATAATAATACCTTGTAGCCTTTGTTAATGATATCTTCACAACAATCAATTTTAATACAAAAACTATAATATAAAGTATGGAAATTTAATTAAACATTTGGCTTGGTATTGTGCTCATTTGTGTATAGAAGAAATAAACATTTTATTTATTTATTAATACACTATTACACGCGGCCCACGATCGTTGTTGTTAAGCAACTTTCGCAAGGAACATTCACGGGATGGGTGACCAAAAAATGATTATCTCGAACTACTCCGTGCTTTGGAAGGCGGGTGGCCCGGTTGGTCCAAGCTGCATTTGCAATCGTTAATACCCTCCAATCCGCATTGGGCCAGCATGAAGGGTCATGGTCCATCCTCTTTAACTATCCACCAGGAAGGCCTGAGCTCCTACAGTGGAGACTTAAAAGGGCTGACGATGATATGAATTATTTGTATTTAAACCTCGCAAAAAAATTGAAATATTTATTTATTTATCTTAATGAATTAAGCATACCTAATATCAGTATAAGTATAATTCAGCACGTCTTTGATCTCATAAATGATCATGGAAAATGTTTAAAAAACGCATCTTTTAATGTCTTTCTACATGCATACGTTATCTTATTCATATGCTCATATGCTAAATTTACATATTATAAGCGATAATAAAACTATTAATACTATAATAATACCATAATAATATATAATCATAATAAATTTATGCAATTAATATAATTATAAAGGTCCAATTTATATCTTTTAATTACTCATCATGAGTAAAAAAAAATCAAGTATTTTCACAGATAATATTCACAAAAACTCAGATATTGCCGAAAAAATCTGCAGCGAAGTAAATTTAAGTTACTGTAGCTTGAATGCATACTGCTAAAACTGGTCGAAAGCTAATACAAAAAGTTAAACTGTGAACAGGTTCCAGAGGCACTCCAACAAGCTGCATCTCGTGTTTATATTACAAATAAAACTATCAACGTAATCTCGCTGTACAACAAAAGCCACTCTCTGTCATTATTTTGTATCCAAACCCAGTCGACGGACCGCAGCCGGTTTAAGGGGATAAACAGACATACGTATCAACCTCGCAAATTAACAAGCGTACAACATCACGATTAGTACCAAGTTAAAGTTTTATAATAAGCATCGGAACCAACATAATGTAAGCCTGTCTTATTCAAACGATAACGTCATCGTGGGAATCGAGTATTCTACGAAGCGATCCTGCGAATGTCGAACCGCAATAGTCAATTCATGACGTAGAACCGTCTACAGGAAAAACTCGTATAAATAGCTTTGCTTTGTGAGGTCCTGTGCCAGTGATCATAATGGGAGTCAGTTGTGTGGTGGCTGTGTTGGCTTTGGCCACCGTCGCATCTGCTACTATAGGTGACAATACCTTGGATGCAGAGAGAGTAGTGCTAGTAGCACCAGTTTTAGCACCCCCAAGAGACTCTAAAACTCACGTCACGGATAGAGCGAGGCAGTTCCCGATTCTAGTCCTACTAGCTCAGAATCACCATGAGTACAGCCGGCCTGAACCTAAGTCGTTGGAAAGGAACCCTCGACCTATCTATGTACAGGTAATTTTATAATTGATCTTGAACTTCACATTGTTGTTTTTAACGGCTGGAACTTGTTTCCAAAATAACCAGTCAGTGTAATTAATGATAATGCAAATGCCGACACGCGTGAGTTTTTTAATCAAGCAAGTAATGCTTTTGGTCAAAATATTTTAGATTAATTTATATTCATACGAATTATATAAATTTAATTTTAACTATAATATTGTGATGATATTAGGTTGATTGTTAATATTATATTTTTTATTATTATCTGTTTTTTTCTCAGTTTGAAGCTAATTAGTTTCCTCTAAGAAGCACTGACCAAGTTATTACACAAATTCAATGTAATTATTATTAATAATATAAATCCTGCAATAGTACTCGTACCTACCTAAGTCATATTTAAGGTGCTTGTTTATTTTCTAAATGTTAGTGTTGTATAAAATCAGTAACTATGTCAAAGAAAATCTAATCTTTTTATAAAGAATATGATATAAAATGTATCAATCAATTTTAATTATAAAATAATGACATTTCACTACAAAAAAAAACCAGGTTTCCGTAAGTGAAAGAATTTTAAAAATCAGTTCAGTTGTTTTGGAGTCTATTCCATGTAAACAAACAAACAATCAAATCTTTCCTCTTTACGATATAGGTATAGACAATGTTTTTTTGTTTTTTATCTTGATAAATATTCTACTTGGTTTCTTTCTTTCTTTTAGATTATATAGATGTTTACCCTATTTTTATAGAAATTAGAAGATCAAGTAAGAGAGGACGGCGGTCGTCTTAACCGGCAGAAAAGAACATTAAAGAAAAAGTTACTGGGGCTCGGTGGGTTAGGCTTTGGTGGCGGGTTCGGGTACGGGGGTGGATATGGAGGTGGATTCTCTGGAGGACATGGTGGATACGACGGGGGGTATCACCAGCCATCACAGACTATTATTGTAGTGAAAGAGCGCGGTAAGATATTTTGTTTGCAATTATCTTATAATAGTATTAGCTATTCATTACATAACAGTAAAAATTGAATAACGGGAAGCAATTTATAATTGACTTTGACGACGTCCGTGGCAGAGGGGCTCTTAAGTCGGTTTCATGGCGTCACGATCTTTGAGATCCTGGCTTCGATTCCCGGTCGGATCAATGTGGAAAATAGACTTTTCTACATTCTCTCGGATATGGGTGTTACGTACTACACTTTCATTGTTTCAGATTGCCATAATATAAGTACTTTTGCTACTTAATTTGGGATCGGCACAATACATGTGATGTTACCTAATATTTATTTAAGGAAAAAAGAAACATCAAAAGATTAATAAGTGATTTCATTTAATGATAAGTCACCTGTGTTCCCAGTTTTTTTTCGAACTTGTGCGGCCAACATTAATAATTTCTGTTACTGTTTTCAGGTCGCAAGCATGGCCATGGACATCACGGCGGAGGTAATTACATTCCCGGCGGTGGCAATTACGGCCCAGGTTACGGCAATGGCGGTGGTTACGGAGGCGGCTTCGGTGGCGGTTACGGCGGAGGCGGAGGCGGAGGTGGGGGTGGAGGTGGAGGAGGAGGTGGAGGCGGTGGATATGGTAATAATTAAAATATATAAGTGATCGTTCAATTAATCATGGTTTAAACTAGAATAAATTTAGTTTAAATCCTGGTAAACTGCGTCTTCAAATCAGTAAATAATAAATAAAACTGCACGACCGGTTACCAAAATATGTAAAATTTCCACAATTGTTAAGATTTAAAATCAAACCAATAAATTTGACAGTATGACCTAAGAGGTCTGAAGAGGCTTTTTAGGAGACCGACAAGATAGTGATGACTGCTCTTGGTATTATTGGAGTATAATAGCATTATCTATCAAGTGTATTACACTCTGTCGTACCCCAACAAAACAAAAGAATAATACAAAACATACACAATAACTAATTCAAAAAATCACTGATATTATTACTAAATCTAAAAGCTAAATCGCTAAAAATAAACTCATAAGAATTCATAACCATTACTAGGATACGGCGGTGGATATGGCGGGGGTTACGGAAACGGGGGATCGCCCGGCGGGTTTGGTGGCTATTCACAGCAAGGTGGATGTGGCGGCGGATGTGGTGGAAATTATGGCGGAAGCTATTCTACTGCAACCGCTACAGCGACTGCCACAGCACAATCTGGTTCATACGGGTAAGCAGATAAAGAAAGAAATTAAACACCTTTTTTCATTATACAAATTCTTCTGACTGCATCATACAATTTGACGAGAGACAATATATTAGTTTGACCTCGAGATTTTTTCTTTGACCGAGTTCGTTGCGCTCGGCTTGTAAATTATTTAATCAATGAATTTTCTTATACTATAGTGGAGATAAAAGAATAAAATAACAAAGAAATAAATTAGGCTTGGTAAACTTGACTTTATTGTTATTACAGGTACGGTAAGAAGCGTTAGCTGAAGCTTTAGACCTCCTATATAGGTCGGTGTATATTTGACGGAAGATCCTTCAACTGTGCACACTCAACCGATGATCCGTCTGTGCGGCGAGCGTATTACGCATTCATTCATTAATACACTCAACGTGTTTTCCATCAGATTTGCATCGACCATTATATGACATGTGAACTGTGATTTTATGGTGACAGGACAATATTCGCTAGACACCAAAATAGCTTTAGGCCAGAGACGATTTTTCTAGACTTTTTTATGGAAAAAAAATATAATTTATTTTCTTAGTACGAATTTTTTTCACATAAAATTGTTCTTGAAACTATGCTTCTTTAAAATAAGAATCCACCTTTCTTTTTTAATTTGTGAGCAATGTGTAATGAGTTCTTATTTTTAAAGTTTAGATATATAATGTTAATCTCTAGTATTAAGCTTAAAATGCTCCAAAAATTTACCAATCATATATTTCTGTTGATTAAGAAATTAAATGGCTTTACATGGTGCAGTATTTATTTTTATTTCTTCGCATTACGATTACATTACATTCATATTCAGCATCGTTTCATCATAGAAATTTTTATTACAATATAAGACAGGGAGATAGCAATGTATGTACAACCTCATCCCCCAATGTGTCCATTAGGCGCAAACCCTCAGGATGAATCCAAAGGGCGTCCCACGTAACCTCGCTAGGCGGCGCAGAGCAGCATATTCCATAAAAAAAGAAAACTATATTTTTTTTTATTTAAATCATAAATATCATAAAATTATAATAGCCATAATACACACTATAATGATAATCTGTATGATAATTTATAATATATAAAGCTTGACTTTATAAGCTTAAAACAAATCATTCTATTTAGTCATTTTCATTTGTATGGGGATGTATGACCACACACCAGAATTATATTGAGTGATAAAACTTTATAATATAAAAATAACCTTTATTGCGTAATGACTTGTTATTTAAATACTATTTGATGAGTCGCGAGTTGAATGTAGACTAACTCGAATGTAATAAAAATGATGACTTTATACAAATAAAATGTAGGTCGATAGACCGTACATATTCCCGGGCGAGAGATGAGGCGCGAAAGTGAAATTTTTAAATTATGAATGAGTGAATGTGATAACGATGATACAAAGGACTACCGACAATGTTTTACGGGATGATTAACAATATGTTTCCCGACAATGAAAATGGTGATCGACATTTGCTATTATGAATCACTCGTGAAAGTGATTTTTTCAAAACTTGGCGTAGTAACTTTGTCCTTTTTTGGTTCTACTAACTGAGTCAATGTATTGACTTTCACACACTTTGCACAAACACAATAATGACTTTTACACTTGATACACTGCACTTCACTTGTACTGTGATAACTTGTAACGCTAGCGCTTGGGCCAGCGTTTGCAGGCATGCCACGCAGCCGTGGCGCGGCGTCAGGCCGCGGCGTTGCAGCGGCATCAATCTGCAGCGGAGCGGCAGCCGGAACATTCCCGGAATTCCTTCTCTGTCGTTGGCGCAACCACACACCAGCTGCGCCAGCCATCACTAGTGCACCCAGCACGTAGATAGCCACGTAGTGGTGCACATCGTGAAAATTGATATCAGACTCGTCCAACTGATCTGTGTCTGATTTGAGTCGTTCTATTTGTTCGCTCATCTGTTCTAGTCTCGAGTCATGTGACTCGTTGAAAGCACCGATAATCGGAATGGATATGTTAAGTACTTTATTGACAGGTGCTATCGTAACCAACAAGACGTCGGGTTTTATATTTAATTCACTCGAATATTGCTGATGCGACGTTATTGTAAATGAGTCGCCCTTGACTACACAGTCACTTCCGAGTGCGATAATGTTCACGCCGGTGAAGGTCTCGTGTGAAATTTGAACCCCACATATGATTCTAATGGAGCATTGACCGCAACATGTAAATAAAAATGTATTTATCGTCGCTAATTCTGTCCAAGTTATTTGACATTGACTTGTGAATGTTTTGCATTTGCCCGATTGATGATCTATAACACAAAGATGGTCGTTTGTCAGTCTTTGATAGATGGGTTTCTGAATTTCGCATAAGTGTGACTGAATATCTATCTCGATGCATTTTTGTAATTCATAATCAGAAATAGTCAAATATGTATCCTTTTTTATATTCATAGCCAAATAATGAGAGATGGGCTGCACGTTGATCATGTATTCTCCGATTTGGTAAGAGACGGCGATGGTTTTATATAGATCGTAGTTGTCTCGATTTATTAGTGGAATTTGTACTTCGAATATAAAATATTGTTGTGTAGCACGTGATCGCACTTTAAGGACTTTATAAATCTTTGACAAATCTGTTTGAATGTTGTCAATGGGAATAGCTAGCTCTTTCGACAACTGCCCAGATATTATGCTTAGCTCGTCACGCAGTTGGTCTGGCGATAATACATGAATGTTGAAACTGTGGAGATTTGTGATTGTATCCAGTATGGTACTCTGAATGGTTTTCAAATTTCTAAATATGTTGCTGGCGATTATGCTGGAAAACATGATTTCATTGTTGATTTCAATCTGTGTAATTTCTTTTTTTAATTTGTTTGTTGCTAACTCCAACTTGTTTAAATGCTGATTAAAAGTTTTGTGTTGTTTTTCCATGACGTATTCAACTTTCTTTAATATATTATTTTGCGATTCAATAATCGATGTCTGATTTTTCCACAATTTTGCTAAGTGACGTTGATCCTTTTTTATAGTTAAAATGTCCTCTTGATACTTCTCCGCAAAGTGTTCGTCTAGAAGTCCAAACAAACTGTTCGCGACGTATCCAATTCCATTGATAAGTCCTCGGCGCTTGCGCTTATGTTTATCAATTTGCTGTGTAGGCAACATGTGATCGTAGTACTCCAATTCAGTGAACTCGTGACGTAATTGTAGCAATATGATTTCGCAATGTGATTTTATTTCCATTAAAGAACAAAGCGTTTCTAAATGATTAATGTAATTGCTGAATAATCTGATACCGTCCCAATACGGCTGCATATTATAGTATACTACAAGCTTCCAATTATCTTGAATTAATTTCATATCTGTTATTTTATCAAAATAAATGCTATTGTTGGTTGGAAGCGACGATATGTTATAAGCGCCCTGTACTGATGTTACTGATGATGTCATTAGTAGCATAAATAACATGAAAATTATATTCACAAAGTTTAAGCACGACGTTTTGCATGAACGATTGATTTGTTTGCTCTGAGTTTCCTTTGGATTACTTTGTTCCAAGTCCAAAGATGTTTCACTATTGACGGGTAAAATTGATAGTTTCACGATAGGGCGTTTAATTACACCGCTTCTAGTTTTGATGCTGACAACGCGGACTAGGCCGTCCTTTCCGGGATGAATGTCAATGATTCGGCCTAGGGTCCACTTGCCAGCCGGCAAGTTTGTCTCATGGATGACAACTATATCGTTGATCTGAATGTTATGTTTAGGTACAAGCCACTTACTTCTCACCGACAATTGGGAAAGGTACTCTGTATGCCATCTTTTCCAAATGTCGGTGAGAAGTAAGTGGCTTGTACCTAAACATAACATTCAGATCAACGATATAGTTGTCATCCATGAGACAAACTTGCCGGCTGGCAAGTGGACCCTAGGCCGAATCATTGACATTCATCCCGGAAAGGACGGCCTAGTCCGCGTTGTCAGCATCAAAACTAGAAGCGGTGTAATTAAACGCCCTATCGTGAAACTATCAATTTTACCCGTCAATAGTGAAACATCTTTGGACTTGGAACAAAGTAATCCAAAGGAAACTCAGAGCAAACAAATCAATCGTTCATGCAAAACGTCGTGCTTAAACTTTGTGAATATAATTTTCATGTTATTTATGCTACTAATGACATCATCAGTAACATCAGTACAGGGCGCTTATAACATATCGTCGCTTCCAACCAACAATAGCATTTATTTTGATAAAATAACAGATATGAAATTAATTCAAGATAATTGGAAGCTTGTAGTATACTATAATATGCAGCCGTATTGGGACGGTATCAGATTATTCAGCAATTACATTAATCATTTAGAAACGCTTTGTTCTTTAATGGAAATAAAATCACATTGCGAAATCATATTGCTACAATTACGTCACGAGTTCACTGAATTGGAGTACTACGATCACATGTTGCCTACACAGCAAATTGATAAACATAAGCGCAAGCGCCGAGGACTTATCAATGGAATTGGATACGTCGCGAACAGTTTGTTTGGACTTCTAGACGAACACTTTGCGGAGAAGTATCAAGAGGACATTTTAACTATAAAAAAGGATCAACGTCACTTAGCAAAATTGTGGAAAAATCAGACATCGATTATTGAATCGCAAAATAATATATTAAAGAAAGTTGAATACGTCATGGAAAAACAACACAAAACTTTTAATCAGCATCTAAACAAGTTGGAGTTAGCAACAAACAAATTAAAAAAAGAAATTACACAGATTGAAATCAACAATGAAATCATGTTTTCCAGCATAATCGCCAGCAACATATTTAGAAATTTGAAAACCATTCAGAGTACCATACTGGATACAATCACAAATCTCCACAGTTTCAACATTCATGTATTATCGCCAGACCAACTGCGTGACGAGCTAAGCATAATATCTGGGCAGTTGTCGAAAGAGCTAGCTATTCCCATTGACAACATTCAAACAGATTTGTCAAAGATTTATAAAGTCCTTAAAGTGCGATCACGTGCTACACAACAATATTTTATATTCGAAGTACAAATTCCACTAATAAATCGAGACAACTACGATCTATATAAAACCATCGCCGTCTCTTACCAAATCGGAGAATACATGATCAACGTGCAGCCCATCTCTCATTATTTGGCTATGAATATAAAAAAGGATACATATTTGACTATTTCTGATTATGAATTACAAAAATGCATCGAGATAGATATTCAGTCACACTTATGCGAAATTCAGAAACCCATCTATCAAAGACTGACAAACGACCATCTTTGTGTTATAGATCATCAATCGGGCAAATGCAAAACATTCACAAGTCAATGTCAAATAACTTGGACAGAATTAGCGACGATAAATACATTTTTATTTACATGTTGCGGTCAATGCTCCATTAGAATCATATGTGGGGTTCAAATTTCACACGAGACCTTCACCGGCGTGAACATTATCGCACTCGGAAGTGACTGTGTAGTCAAGGGCGACTCATTTACAATAACGTCGCATCAGCAATATTCGAGTGAATTAAATATAAAACCCGACGTCTTGTTGGTTACGATAGCACCTGTCAATAAAGTACTTAACATATCCATTCCGATTATCGGTGCTTTCAACGAGTCACATGACTCGAGACTAGAACAGATGAGCGAACAAATAGAACGACTCAAATCAGACACAGATCAGTTGGACGAGTCTGATATCAATTTTCACGATGTGCACCACTACGTGGCTATCTACGTGCTGGGTGCACT